AGCAAGAAACGTGTTTGTTCAGAGAAATATGTTCAGACCCGTTTATTCCAGAAAGTTGTGTCTTTTGGAAAAAATAACAACTTTTCGAAAAAATGTGTCTGTTAGGAAAATAACTACTTTTTGAAAAGTAATGACTTTTCGAAATGTTACCGTTACACGCAAATTTATAAGAGATAATATTAACAGGATTTATTTGATTTAACAAGAACTGATTAAATAAATTTTGTCCAAAAAATTTATCAATCAATCACATCATTTGCCAAATCCAAATCCAAAGCCAAAGCCAAAGCCAAAGCCGAGCCGAGCGAGCGACGACGACGACGGCACGAGGGGGCATCTTCTTTTTAGCTCTTTAAGAAGTAATGGAAGTGTTTCCTTCTATAAGGACAACATTTTCCATTTCTTTTGCCGATATGGGAGAAATGACTTTTCATTTTCCCTCCAAAGTAGTTCCCTCACTTTTCATATTCTCTCTTTTCTTTTCCCATTCACACTTGCTAAAACCCAACAATCCCCCACATGAATGGGGAAGGCTATTGTTAAAACATATGCATGAAAAAACATGTGTGCCTTGTAGGTAAAGTTTAATTGCATATGGATAAGTAGGTTTCCCTTTAAACTTTTCGTAGTGAACATATATAGGATATACTCGATCAATCGGTAGATTTGATATTTTTGAACCGTCGAGCTTTGGTGTATACCTAGACAACATATGTCACACAATCAACCCTTGAACTGTTCTTAGTTCTTATTGTTTTGTTCGTTTCAGCCATGAACACATCTTGGATAGTAAGTGCTTAAAGAACTGGCCTTATCGGATTCTCCTTGAAGCGGCTTACACTTCACACTTACATAAGTGATTTCTAAATGTGTTATCCCATAGATACACCATTTGATATTCCCTGTATCAAACTTAGAAACCATTAAAAAGTCCTTATGTCTTTATCATGGTTACTAAACATTGTCTCATCATGAGAATGGACCATAAAATAATAATAATAATTTTTTTTTCCTTTGACAATGTTGAACCGTCATCAATGACTTTGTTTTATCTCCTTGAACCTAGATCTTGGGATCTCCAGTCTTCTAGGTAGAGTTACCACCAGGATGACTTGTTCTCGGCCATAGTCCCATTCCCGTCGATGATTTCTCAACTTCCTCTCTATTTAGGCCTTTTGTAAGTGGATCCGACACATTATCTTTTGACTTCACATAGTCAATTGTGATAATTCCACTAGAGAGTAGTTGTCTCACAGAGTTATGTCTTTGTCTTATGTGACGAGACTTGCCGTTATACATAATGCTTCCAGCCCTTCCTATTGCAGCTTGACTATCACAATGTACGCATATAGGGGCCATTGGTTTGGGCCAAAATGGAATATCTTCTAAGAAATTCCGGAGTCATTCATCTTCTTCACCTGCCTTGTCTAAAGCAATGAATTCAGACTCCATTGTAGAGCGAGCTATACATGTTTGTTTGGATGATTTCCAAGATATTTCTCCTCCACCAATAGTAAAAACGTATCCATTTGTGAATTTTGTTTCTGTTGTCCCAGTAATCCAATTTGCATCACTATATCCTTCAAGAACAGCTGGATATCTGTTGTAATGTAAAGCATAGTTTTGAGTGTCATCTAAGTATCCCAAAACTCTCTTCATTGCCACCCAATTATTATGATTACGATTACTTGTGTATCGACTCAGTTTACTGATAGCGCAAGCTATGTCTAGTCATGTACAATTCATGACATACATTAAGTTTCCCAATACGCTAGCATAGTCCAATTGAGACTGACTTTCGCCTTTATTCTTTGCAACATGAAGATTTACATCAATTGGAGTCTTTGCAATTTTAAAATTCAAAAATTTGAATTTTTCAAGTATCTTTTGAATATAATGAGTTTGAGACAATGCTAGACCATTAGGAGTTTTAAGAATTTTAATTCCTAATATCAGATCAGCAACTCCTAAATCTTTCATATCAAACTTACTAGCAAGCATACGCTTTGTAGCTTTTATATTAGCAATGTCTTTGCTCATTATAAGCATATCATCTACATATTGGCCTAAAATAACTTCCTTATTTGGAGTATCTTTACTGTAAACACATTTATCACATTCATTGATCTTAAATCTATTTGACAACATGGTTTGATCAAACTTTGCATGCCATTGTTTTGGTGCTTGTTTTAGCCCATAAAGTGACTTAATAAGTTTGCACACTTTCTTTTCTTTACCAGGAATTACAAAACGCTCAGGTTGTTCTATGTAAATTTCCTCTTCAAGCTCTCCATTTAAGAAGACTGTTTTCACATCCATTTGATGAATTTCAAGACCGTATACTGCAGCTAGTGCAATTAACATCCGAATTGATGTAATCCTAGTCACTGGAGAGTATGTGTCAAAATAATCAAGACCTTCTTTTTGTCTAAAACCTTTGACAACAAGTCTTGCTTTATATTTGTCAATAGTTCCATCGTCTTTCATCTTCTTTTTAAAGATCCATTTTGAACCTAAGGGTTTGTTCCCTCGAGGAAGATCAACCAACTCCCAACTATTAACAGCCTCCTTCCAAGAGGTTGAGTCGCTAGACAACATTGCTTCCTTGAATGTTTGAGGCTCACTTTCAAGAAGATATGTTACAAAATATGATCCAAATGAAGTAGATGTATTTTGACGTTAACTATGTCTTGTACTTTCTTCATTTTGTTCATTCTCTTTTGGTTCTTCTCTGGGTTGTTTAGATCCTCCACTAGAAGACTCAAGTCTAGTTTTATACGGATAGATATATTCAAAAAATTCAACACTATCTGATTCCATTACCGTATTATCATGAATATCCAGATGTTCGGACTTATGAACCAAAAATCGACATGCCTTACTGTTTGCGGCATATCCAATGAGTACACAATCCACAGTCTTAGGTCCTATTTTTACTCTCTTAGGTATAGGAACTTGGACTTTGGCTAGACACCCCCACACTTTGAAATATTTCAAATTGGGTTTTCTACCTTTCCATTTCTCATATGGAATTACATTTGTCTTTGAGTGAGACACTCTGTTAAGTATCTGATTTGCTGTAGGGATAGCCTCCCCCCACAAGTTCTGTGGTAAACCCGAACTTATAAGTAATGCATTCATCATTTCTTTTAAAGTTCGGCTTTTTCTTTCTACAATTCCATTAGACTGAGGAGTGTAGGGAGCAGTAGTTTGATGGG